TTAGTTTAATGTTCATCCTGATTTGAAACAATTTTGAAATAAATATAGTAAAATAACAAAAAAAAAATTAAAAAATACTCTTTCCTAACCTAAAAAACAAACTTAATAAAAAATAAAAAAAAAAGTTCGCACAAAAAATAAAAACTAGACTAGAAAATCCAAAAAAAATAACATCCATCTTCTGCACTATTTCTTTCATCAAAACTTTATCGGGAATCAATAAAGTTTGCAGCAGGACCACCATTTATAGAATTGGACCGAATAAATTTATTAAGTACAAATTCAAAGAGTTTCGATTTAGCAAAACAACTTTTGTCGAAGAACTAACAAGACACAGCATATCATTAATAGTTGAACGATTTGCTTTTAATGATAAGGATCTAAATGTAATAAATAAAAAATTTAGTTTATATATATAATATTCTCACAAAATATTTAACTGAAATAACAAATAAACCACCCAAACTTTCTATAGTCTAGCCTCTCTATAGTCATCCCTTTGACTACAAAGAACTTTGTTCTCATAAAATATACTCAAATAGAGGTTAACTCTCTTAAAAGCGTAGCTATAAAGAGAAATAGGCAATTAAAAAATTAATATATGAATTTAAATATGCTAATTATTATTATTTTTTTTTTTACTCTTAAATAATCTTAGGTTATGATCGAACAAAATACTCCACTCAACATCCAAACGATAGAAGACTTCCCAACCGCATTTGACCTCCCCATATTGCTGGCATTTGGCGTTTTCATGGTCACTGTACAAGATCCCAGTACCACAGATGGCGAAACAATCTTTTTTTACCTCAAAAAAGATGCTTATAATGGCATGATGGCATTCCAAGTTACCATGTTGGTTTTATGTAAATATGCCCGAAAGGTCGCCATGCGAATGTTGCGGAGGCTACCAAACATCAGCCAATAATCTCAGTTGCCAGGAATTGGTAACATTAAAAAAATTGGTGTGCGTAGCATGTGAGATTATTGAGTAGAGTTATCCCAACCAAGGGTTCTCCAAATCTTGCGGAGATGCTTCTACATTAAAGAATAGAAGGACTAGAAATGAGAAATTAGAAAAATTGGCTGAAAAACTCGACCCGCCCGCAAAACAACCAGAAAGGGTAAACAACCCTATAGTGATAGTGCTCAAGAAGAAAGCTTTTTATGAGCAAAAAGATTAAGAACTGTGGCAACTAATATTAATTGTCGGAGATGATGCTGAAATCGGATGA